TGAGGGTTCCAGCTCTGAAAACTCCTCAGACTCCAAGGACAGTTCCAGCACTAAGGGAACCAGCACTACAGATGGGCTGTGGTGTGGCATTAGTAGGAGCCTGTCCGGCAGCAGTAAAAGAGATTTGTCCTCTGGAGTGGAAAGGGGTCTGGAGAGGAGCAGAGTGGGTGGGTACAGGAGTATCAGCTCATCTGCCAAAATGAGGGGCTCAGAGCTGCCGGAAGTCCTTCGAGTGCCCGTAGAGATGCTAGAGGATCCGGGTGGCATCTGTTGGGCTGTCTTGTCTGAGCAGCATGGCAGTGGCGATGGGATGGGTGGTGTGTGCGCCTGTGAGCACTCTAAATGCACAGGTACCAGGGTTCCAGCGGATCCCTTTGTGCTGAGCTTTAATCTTCCACTCGGGAAAGCTTGGGCACGGATCTGGCCAGATCTGCGGGCATCATCTCAGCTGACCTGGCTTGGCTTGGGGAAGAAACGCTGCACATGGGAGCAGTCTGCTGCAGGGATCTGCTCTTGTGCCTGTGAGAGTGCTTCTTACTCTCATGTCTGGGCTTGTCCTTCACCATTGGTACTGCTGGATCTGGGGCATGCGAAGTGCTTGGAGGGACGCTCACCGCTGATGACGGCTGCTGTTCGGGGGGTCTGATGGTCCCGGATCCAAGTGTGTACGTGGTCTCATTGCTTCCTCCATTAGAAATTTACACTGGTGGAGCTCCTGAGCTTCCCAGGTTCGGGGAAAGGAAGGTCTTGTCGAAGCAGGAAGGAGTGAGCCTTGCCGAGGCAGTAGACACATCTCTGGTGCTCGTTGCTTATAAGAATGAGTAGAAGACAGTTCTAAATCCTGGAACGCGGAGCATCGTCTCCTGGAAGGACAGGGACAGTTCCCAAATGGGGGAAAAACTATCACTAACTCAATTATCTGCTCTTCAACTACTATCTATATACAACTATCTACAAGAATGGAGAAACTCACTCTCTTAGTCAAAATTAAGAGTGTGAAGGAACAGGAGGTTTCAACTCAGGCCATGCAGCAGTAAGAGGGAATTGGAGAGGTATCAACCTGCACAACCTATTATACTCTTGGCTGCAAGCACAAGGGGATGTACTACACACATGCAGGTCTACGGACACTGCTAAGAAACACTTCTGGACTCAGGCACATGGTGTGCATCTGCACCCACATATGGAATACATATAGGGAACATCACCCAAAGAAGTGTTATTTACCCCTTCATGTAACACATGAACTAGGGGTCACCCCATGAAATTAATAAGCAGCAGGTTTAAAACCAACAAATAGGAAGTACTTTGTAACACAGCGCACAGTCAACCTGTTGAACTCATTGCTAGGGGATGTTATAAAGGCCAGAAGTATAATTGGGTTAAAAAAAGAATTAGATATGTTCACAGAGGATTGGTCCATCAATGGCTATTAGCCAGGATGCAACCCCATGCTCTAGGTTTTCCTAAACCTCTGACTGCCAGAAGCTGGGGCTGGGTGACAGGATGGACCACTTGATAAATTGCGCTGTTCTGTCCGCTCCCTCTGAAACATCTGGCACCAGCCACTGCTGGAAGACAGGATACTGCGCTAGATGGACCATTGGTCTGACCCAGTATGGCTGTTCTTATGTTCTTAACCATTTGGTGGAAAAGAGAAGTGGGAGGAGGGGACAAAACATCTCCAGACAAAAGAGTAACATTTTGAACTGGGTTCCCCCAGTTCTGCTTCTTATACTATTGCATCCTCACATGGGTTTAAACTAGTGTGGGCACATGGGAAGGGAGAAGACTTTGGTGCTTACAGTGCAGGTGGAATGTGTAGGCTGTGGAAGAATGACATTTTAATTGCTGATGTTCAGGGTGAATTCGATTTAAATCATGATTTAACCTGAGAGTGTCTGGATTAAGTTTAGAAGTGTGAGCAACAAGGGTGAAGTCGTGGTGGGGGTCTGCTATAGACCACCGGACCAGGGGGCTGAGGTGGACAAGCCTTTCTTCCAGCAACTAACTGAAGTCTCCCAGGAGAACCAGGACCTGCGATCTATTAACTTCTATCACCCTGATATCAGTTGGGAGAGCAATACAGCAGTGCACAGACAATCCAGGAAGTTTTTGGAAAGTGTAGGGGACAATTTCCTGGTGCAAGTGCTGGAGGAACCAACTAGGGGCAGAGCTCTTCTTGACCTGCTGCTCACAAACCGAGAAGAATTAGTAGGGGAAGCAAAAGTGGATGGGAACCTGGGAGGCGGTGACCATGAGATGGTAGAGTTCAGGATCCTGACACAAAGAAGAAAGGAGAGCAGCAGAATAAGGACCCTGAACTTCAGAAAAGCAGACTTTGACTCCCTCAGGGAACTGATGGGCAGGATTCCCTGAGAGAATAACATGACGGGGAAAGCCAGCTGTATTTTAAAGAATCCTTATTGAGGTTACAGGGACAAACCATCCCAATATGTAGAAAGAATAGTAAATATGGCAGGAGACCAGCTTGGCTTAACAGTGAAATCCTTGCTGATCTTAAACACAAAAAAGAAGCTTACAAGAAGTGGAAGATTGGACAAATGATCAGGGAAGAGTATAAAAATATTGCTTCAGGCAGGAGTGAAATCAGGAAGGCCAAATCACACCTGGGATGTTAAGAGTAACAAGAAGGGTTTCTTCAGGTTTGTTAGCAACAAGAAGAAAGTCAAGGAAAGTGTGGGCCCCTTACTGAATGAGGGAGGCAACCTAGTGACAGAGGTTGTGAAAAAAGCTAACGTACTCAATGCTTTTTTTGCCTCTGTCTTCACGAACAAGGTCAGCTCCCAGACTACTGCATTGGGCAGCACAGCATGGGGAGGAGGTGACCAGCCCTCTGTGGAGAAATAAGTGGTTCGGGACTATTTAGAAAAGCTGGACAAACACAAGTCCATGGGGCCGGATGCACTGAATCAGAGAGTGCTAAAGGAGTTGGCGGATGTGATTGCAGAGCCATTATCTTTGAAAACGCATGGCCATCGGGGGAGGTCCCGGATGACTGGAAAAAGGCTAATGTAATGCCCATCTTTAAAAAAAGGGAAGGAGGAGGATCCTGGGAACCACAGGCCAGTCAGCCTTACCTCAGTCCCTGGAAAAATCATGGAGCAGGTCCTCAAGGAATCAATTCTAGAGCACTTAGAGAAGAGGAAAGTGATCAGGAACAGTCAGCATGGATTCACCAAGGGCAAGTCATGCCTGACTAATCTCATTGCCTTCTATGACGAGTAACTGGCTCTGTGGATGAGGGGAAAGCAGTGGATGTGTTGTTCCTTGACTTTAGCAGAGCTTTTGACACAAGTCTCCCACAGTATTCTTGTCAGCAAGTTAAAGAAGTATGGGCTGGATGAATGGACAATAAGGTGGATAGAAAGCTGGCTAGATTGTCGGGCTCAACGGGTAGTGATCAATGGCTCCATATCTAGTTGGCAGCCGGTATCAAGTGGAATGCCCCAAGGGTCGGTCCTCGGGCCGATTTTGTTCAATATCTTCATTAATGATCTGGAGGACTGTGTGGATTTCACCCTCAGCAAGTTTGCAGATGACACTAAACTGGGAGGAGAGGTAGATACGCTGGAGGATAGGGATGGGATACAGAGGGCCCTAGACAAATTAGAGGATTGGGCCAAAAGAAATCTGATGAGATTCAACAAGGACAAGTGCAGAGTCCTGCACTTAGGACAGAAGAATCCCATGCACTGCTACAGACTAGGGACCAAATAGCTAGGCAGCAGTTCTGCAGAAAAGAACCTGGGGGTTACAGTGGATGAGAAGCTGGATAGGAGTCAGTGTGCCATTGTTGCCAAGAAGGCCAATGGCATTTTGGAATATATATGAAGAGGCATTGCCAGCAGATGGAGGGACGTGATCGTTCCCCTCTATTTGACATTGGTGAGGCCTCATCTGGAGTACTGTGTTCAGTTTTGGGCCCCACACTACAAGAAGGATGTGAAAAAATTGGAAAACGTCCAGCGGAGGGCAACAAAAATGATTAGGGGACTGGAACACATGACTTATGAGGAGAGGCTGAGGGACCTGGGATTGTTTAGTCTGCGGAAGAGAAGAATGAGGGGGGGGATCTGATTGCTGCTTTCAACTACCTGAAAGGGGGTTCCAAAGAGGATAGAGCTATACTGTTCTCAGTGGTACCAGATGACAGAACAAGGAGTAGTGGTCTCAAGTTGTTGTGGGGGAGGTTTAGGTTGGATATTAGGAAAAACTTTTTCACTAGGAGGATGGTGAAACACTGGAATGCGTTACCTAGGGAGGTGGTGGAATCTCCTTCCTTTCAAGTTTTTAAGGTCAGGCTTGACAAAGCCCTGGCTGGGATGATTTAGTTGGGGATTGGGCTTTGAGCAGGGGGTTGGACTAGATGACCTCCTGAGGTCCTTTCCAACCCTGATATTCTATGAATACCTTGAAAAGTAATCTCAGATGCGGAAACCAGATCTAAAGTATTCTTGAATATTTCCCGGTCTAAATAGTACAAAAATCTTTTCATGAATATCTGTAACCTTCTACCAATAAATACTTCATTACCCACACATTAGTAATGCTAATGATTATAAAAAAGTTAAATGTAATAACACTGGGAAGTTTTTCAACAGTTGAGTGTTATATCTGCTCTCAACCCTTACATGACTATGGGTATGTCTACACTACGAAATTAGGTCACTCTTATAGAAGTCAATTTTTAGAAATCGATTTTATACAGTCGATTGCATGTGTCCACACTAAGCGCATTAAGTTGGGGGAGTACATCCACAGTACCATGTCTAGCTTCGACTTTTGGAGCGTTGCACTGTGGGTAGCTATCCCACAGTTCCAGCAGTCTCCGCTGCCCATTGGAATTCTGGGTTGAGCTCCCAATGTCTGATGGGGCAAAAACATTGTGGCGGGTGGTTTTGGGTACATGTAGTCAGTCACCCCTCCCTCTGTGAAAGCAATGGCAGACAATTATTTTGTGCCTTTTTTCTGTGCAGACACCATACTGCTGTCAGCAGACGGTGTAGTAGGACTGCTAACCATCGTCATCATCCACCGCTTCCCCTGCAACTCTGCTGCTCTTGTCTCAGTAGCGAATTTCTCCATGTTGTCCGTCATGTGCTCCCGGGTACTTGTGTTCTTCCTCAGGAAACGTGCGCGGTGCTAACTGTCGTCCTCCACTGCTTCCGCTGCAACTCTGCTCTCCTGGGGCCATGAATCCACCTCACAGGTCCTCTCGTCGTTCTGTATAAATATCTATTCTTGTGTCATCCGTTGTCATCCACCGCTTCCGCTGCAACTCTGCTGTCCTGCAGACGCCATACCATGGAAAGCATGGAGCCTGCTCAGCTCACCACTGCTGTTGTGAACATTGCAAACACCTCGCGCATTATCCTGGGGTATGTGCAGAACCTGCAAGAGGAGACGACGACAGCACAATCACGATAGTGATGAGGACATGGACACAGACTTCTCTCAAAGCATGGGCCCTGGCAATTTGGACATCCTGGTGGTAATGGAGCAGGTTCATGCCGTGGGACGCTGATTCTGGGCCTGGGAAACAAGCACAGACTGGTGGGACCACATAGTGTTACAGGTCTGGGATGATTCCCAGTGGCTGCAAAACTTTCAACTGCGTAAGGGAACTTTCATGGAACTTTGTGACTTGCTTTCCCCTGCCCTGAAGCACAAGAATACCAAGATGAGAGCACCCTCACAGTTGAAGTGAGTGGCAATAGCCCTCTGGAAGCTTGCAACGCCAGACAGCTATCGGTCAGTCAGGAATCAGTTTGGAGTGGGTAAATCTACTGTGGGGGTTGCTGTGATGCAAGTAGCCAACGCAATCACTGAGCTGCTGCTATCAATGGTAGTGACTCTGGGAAATGTGCAGGTCATAGTGGATGGCTTTGCTGCAATGGGGTTCCCTAACTGTGGTGGGACGATAGATGGAATGCATATCCCTATCTTGGGACTGGACCACCTTGGCAGCCAGTACATAAACCGCAAAGGGTACTTCTTAATGGTGCTGCAAGCACTGGTGGATCACAAGGGATGTTTCAACGACATCAACGTGGGATGGCCAGGAAAGGTGCATGATGCTTACATTTTCAGGAACGCTGGTCTGTTTGAACACCTGCAGGAAGGAACTTACTTCCCAGACCACAAAATTACCATTGGGGATATTGAAATGCCTATAGTTATCCTTGGGGACCCAGCCTACCCCTTAATGCCATGGCTCATGAAGCCATACACAGGTACCCTGGACAGTAGTAAGGAGCAGTTCAACTATAGGCTGAACAAGTGCAGAATGGTGGTAGAATGTGCATTTGGACATTTAAAAGCTCGCTGGCACAGTTTGCTGAGTAGGTTAGACCTCAGCAAAAACAATTTTCCCATTGTTATTGCTGCTTGCTGTGTGCTCCACAATATCTGTGAGAGTAAGGGGGAGACGTTTATGGTGGGGTGGGAGGTTGAGGCAAATCACCTGGTGGTCGATTACATTCAGCCAGACACCAGGGCCATTAGAAGAGCACAGCTGGGCGCCCTGCACATCAGACAAGCTTTGAAAACCAGTTTCATGACTGGCCAGGCTACAGTATGATATGTCTGTTTCTCCTTGATGAAAACCCACCTCCTTGGTTGACTCTACTTCCCTGTAAGCCAGCCGACCTCCCCCCTTCGATCACCGCTTTCAGAGGCAATAAAGTCATCATTGTTTCAAAATCATGCATTCATTATTAATTCATCACACAAACAGGGGGAAAACTCGCAAGGTAGCCCAGGAGGGGTGGCGGAGAAGGGAAGGACAAGGTCACACTAGTTCAAAACTTATTGAATACCAGCCTTCCGTTGCTTGGGCAATCCTCTGGGGTGGAGTGGCTGGGGACCCGTAGCCTCCCCCCCGCGTTCTTGGGCGTCTGGGTGAGGAGGATATGGAACTTGGGGAGGAGGGCAGGCGGTTATACAGGGGCTGCAGCGGTGGTCTGTGCTCCTTCTGCCTTTCCTGCAGCTCCAGACGCCTGAGCATGTCAGTTTGCTCCCCCATTAGACTCAGCATTGCATCCTGCCTCCTTTCATCACGCTCCTCCCTCCTCTCATCGCATTCATTTAACGCTTTCCTGGTCTCTGCCATTGTTTGCCTCCACGCATTCTGCTGAGCTCTTTCAGTGCAGGAGGACTGCATGAGCTCTGAGCATTTCTTTGTGAATGTGTTTTTTTCGCCTTCTAATCTGCGCTAGCCTCTGGGACGGAGATGATAGGGGGAGCGTAGAAACATTTGCAGCTGCAGGAGGAAAAAGAGGGAGAGTAGTATTTAAAAAAAGATACATTTTAGAGAACAAAGGGAAGACTGTTTCACACTGAATCAAGCAATTCACATTACATAGCACATGTGCTTTTGGGAGAAGGTTGCATTTTTCCTCTTATATTGAGTGCCTGCTGGTTTGGTGAGAAACATCACATACGCTCGGCTGGGCAACAGAATTCGGCTTGCAGGCAGTCATGGTAAGGCAAAGGGTTTCGGCTTCTTCAACCTTCATAACATGTGGGAACAGTTTCAAACAGCAGCACCCTCCTTTCCCATACCAAGCATAGCCCGTTGGTATGGCCATTTAAAAGGAGGGGCTGCAGTTTTAGGGTGAATGTGCAGCACAACCCCAAACCCCCCCCCCCCAGTTCTCTGGGATGATCGCTTCACCCTCTCCCCCACCACAACTGCGTGGCTAGTATCAGGGAAGATCCCCGTCAGCCAAATGCGAACAGCTCAGCATGAATGGGCCTCCCCCTACCTCGTGGCTGACAGCAGGGATGATTTCTTTTCAGCCAAAGGCAAACAGCCCAGCAGGAGTGGACACCTCTGAATGTCCCCTTAAACAAATTTCCCGTATTTGAACCAGGTGCCCATGAATAATATCACTCTCCTGAGGCTAACACAAAGAGATAAAGAATGGATGTTGCTTGAATGCCACCAAAGCCCGGGCCCATTCGCTGCAATACTTTGTTCTGCAATGATTCCAGATTACTTGCTACTGGCTTGACGTGGTAAAAGTGTCCTACCATGGAGGACAGGATAAGGCTGACCTCCCCAGAAACCTTCTGCAAAGGCTTTTAGAGTACCTCCAGGAGAGCTTAATGAGATGTCCTTGGAGGATTTCCACTCCATCCCCAGACATGTTAACAGACTTTTCCAGTAGCTATGCTGGCTGCGAATACATCCCAAGTCTTCAGGGCAAATTAATCATTAAAGACGCTTGCTTTTAAACTCTGTATTTTATATTCACAAAGGTACACTCACCGGAGGTGCCTTCTCCAGCTTCATGGTCCGGTAGCCTGCCTTGGGAGGGTATTGGCTCCAGGGTGATTAACAGTTCCTGGCTGCCAGGGAGAAGGGATTCTCCGCTTGCCTGCTGTGTGCTATCCTCAACCTCCTCCTCCACAAAATCTTCATTCCTGTTGCGTGAGATTCCCCCCTTGCAGGTGTCCATGGACAGTGGTGGGGCGCTCCCTAGAATTGCATGCAGCTCATCATAGAAGCGGCATGTATGGGGCTCTGACCCGGAGTGACCGTTTGCATCCTTTGTTTTTTGGTAGGCTTGCCTCAGCTCCTTAACTTTCACGTAGCACTGCTGTGTGTCCCTCTTGTAGCCTCTGTCCATCATGCCCTTGGAGATTTTGGCAAATATATTGGCCTTTCATCTTTTGGAACAGAGTTCTGCCTGCACAGATTCTTCTCCTCATATAGCGATCAGATCCAGTCCTCCCATTCGGTCCATGCTGGAGCTCTTTTGCGATTCTGGGACTCCATGGTCACCTGTGCTGATGAGCGCGCCACGCTGGCCAAACAGGAAATGAAATTCAAAAAGTTCCCAGGGCTTTTCCTGTCTACCTGGCCAGTGCATCGGAGTTGAGAGTGCTGTCCAGAGTGGTCATAATGGAGCACTCTGGGATAGCTCCCAGAGGCCAGTACTGTTAAATTGCTTCCGCACTACCCCAAATTCTACCCAGCAAGGTCGATTTTAGTGCTACTCCCCTCGCCGGGGAGGAGTACAGAAATAGATTTTAAGTCAACAAAACAGGCTTGGTTGTGTGGATGGATGCAGGGTTAAATTGACCTAATGCTGCTAAATTCGACCTAAACTCGTAGTGTAGATCAGGGGCTATGATAGAAGTGATTAAAAACTTACCTGATCATCAGCTGTTCATAAACTACTGCAAAGGTGATCAGAATATATATTTATACACACTCTCTCTCTCTCTGGACCCTTTCAACTAATCAATTATAAATCAATTTTAAAACAATTTTTGTTAAATAGTATCTAAAGCTTCAAGATTTAATTTCAGTCAAAAATCCAGCCATTTGTTAACATGACCAATAAAATTTATTAAACATATTTACAACTATTTACATATCTTTCCATAGGTAAATATTAAAATAGACAATGTACAATTTAAGAATTTTCATTCAAAGGCATTTTGTTGGGGAAAAAAATAGGCTCTATTGTGAGACCAACATATAAGAGCAAAAGGTGTTTTAGTTTAAACAAAAATATTTTCACCATAGTAAGTCATAGGTATGGCATTACACTAGCAGACTAATATGAAATGTGGTTTTGTAAATATTACAGTTATTTAGGTATCAGATACTGAAGTAAGGGAGTTAAGTTGAGTGAAGCATGCAACACCATTCAGTTTCAAATCTTTTACAGTTATGGTGATGAAACAAGCAGCTAAATCAAACACATGCCTTACTAAAAGAACTGCCAACCAGAAATACACTACACTTAATAAAAACTACAACTTTGGTCCAATAAAACATTAGACAAAACAGTTTTACAATTAAAATATCTATTTTTGTACATGTTTTCAACATTAATTACAAGACTATTTACATTTTCACAATATGTATAAAATAAGTTATTTAAAAATGACAATATTACATCTTTTCCAAAAAGAAAACTATACAAATTTACAAATACAATAAAATGAACAGACTTTTTCCCTTCCAAATCTTGTATTTCTTCCACAGGCTTTGTCATTGTTTTTCTGTGGGAATTCAACTGTTACTGAAGTTTCATAATACAAAGCTTTAAAGCAGGCTTTATTAAATATCAAATGCTTTTCAGTGGTTATTTTACTTGTTAACAACTTCCAGCGCTGTTAACTCACCGTATCTTGTCATCTTTTCAGTGAATATGCTCTAAAGTTGTAGTTAACTTTTAAAATATAAATAATGGCATTTATTGGGAAACTGCTTTTTGGAACTAGCATCCAATATAATTAATGTCATTTATCACTAAATGACACAGTATTTACTATCATCCATTTACCATATTTAACAAGACTTTGAACTATTTTTCTGAAAGAATACCTTGATTATTGGACAAGGAGATATTCCACAGAATTAAGTGCTATACCTCAAGAGATGCATACATTTCTGCCCATTGCTGTCCATTTCTCTCAGACTGTTTCCATTGAAAGACAGCCAGCTGTCATATAGGTGTCAACTCAAAATCATCATTAACATCAACAAGAGGAACATAAAACTCCTGAATTTCATAAATACTGATAGATTTGTATGTAGCAGGATCAAGTTCTTGTAGCTTAAGCTGCCATTCCAGTCTCTGTACAGCATTTAAAGCTGCTGCTTCATGCTGTTGCCTCATCAAAAGGCATGTCTGTTCAAAATGAAAAATTAGGTTAATGTTTTCAAATATTTAAAACAAACATTTTAAAAAGAAGACTGCATTTAAGTAACACCAAAGACCTTTAAAGGAAACTTTAGAAAGTTGAAATCCATATCTAATATAATATTTACTTGGCTTAAGTGTGTATGGATATTTAATTAAAAACTAACAAAACACAGGTTCTTCCACCAAATAATTTCTTTACATATCAACATAAAAGTTGCTCAAGATTATGAATTTTTCTTTTAAATGCTCCTTACATGACACTAATAATTTATGATATTGCACTCATACCATGCTTATGCATCTCATCTTTGTAGTTGCATTTGTAGTCTAATTTTTTGGCTTTGAAAGGACAAATGCAGATACATACCTTTAATTTGTCAAATTTATCATCTACATCTTGTAGCCATGACATGAACTGCCTTGCATTAAATCGATCCCTAACTGATGTTTTACTGTCATCAGCCTACAAAAGAAACACATTAGAAACAGTTTTTCAAATAATGAGGTAATGCAAGTTGTTAACAATTACTTATTCCTGTTACAATACTGGAGAACAAGGGATTAAAAAGCAGCTCTGGGTCCAGATGGCTCTGTCCTGCTACACCTGAAAAATTTGCACAAGCATGAGGTGGAGTTTAAAAAGGGAAGCAGGTAGTGGAAGGGAGCAGACCTCTGCTCCGAGCTCTGGGCAAGTATGGCCCAGGAACTCTTGTTGCCTGAGATCTGGCAACACAGCCCTGACAAAGCCTGCAAAGGAGAGACTGGTGACTGATTACAAAGGCCAGAAACTTTATTTGTGGTTCTTAAATTTACTCCATGGGGAAAAAGGAGACTTAGGTAGGAAGTGATCCAGGGAGGCAGCTGCTTAGCACCCCAAAGAGCAGAACTTAACCATTGGGCCCTGGATCAGACCCCAGGCTCCCCTACCAACTCCAAAAGATATGACAACAGAGACCTTTACCTCAGTGGAAAATCCACAATGGGAAGAACTGGGCTGATCAAGAATCCAGATTGCAAAGTCCCCAAACAAAGGTGAAAGCCCTGAAGCCCTTGCAGGTGCTGAAGACTTCTCTGTGATTGGACTTCCTTTTTGTATACCCCAAAATGGGTGGATGGGACATGTGACCTGGCTGGGGCA